CAGTCTATCCCAGAAATGTCAAGGAAGGGAGGAGTCAGATAGGCCAGGTGAAAGTGAGGGCAGGGTGATATCATTGATCTATCAGAGAAAGAGTTGTGGGTGGGGGCCAAACAAGGAATGTTCTTCATACCCATGAAGAGACAGGCATAGCCAGGGCCCATGCAGGTACCTATGGCAACCCCTCTTACTTTTGAACTGTTCCGGAACAGTTCAATGTTCTAATATTTTAAAAAAAATACATTCTATTGAGTAACAGCCATTCCAAGTGAAGAAAACCCTAGCCATGGTTAGCCAGAAGTGTTTAAATATAGTATCAAACTTAACATAATTGTGTAAGGGCAGATGGCAAGTAGCTGGGTAGCTCAAAAAATGAGCAAAGAATGTGGAATTTTTAATAAAATTCAGTAGCTTTATAAACACTAGCACTTAATATCAAAGAGGTTAACAGCAAGTGATTTGTACCTAATGGATAATTCTCAATAGAAAATGAGATGGCAAATGAATTGAACAAGTGTTTTGCACCAGCTCTTCACTTCAGAGGATACAAGTAATGTCCCCACAGTAGTGATATTCCAGGGAATGGAATGAGAAGGTGGAACGTGGAGTTGCATTCTGATAAGTGCTCCAATCCCACTAAACTACATTCTAGGGACTGAAGAGGTGGCTACTGAGATGCATCAGATTTAATTTTCTAAAACTCCTTGACTCAGGAAGGACTTTAGAATTGAAGATAGTAAATAGCAATTTATTCATATCTTCTGTCTGCCCACTCCTTGAAGCTACAAATGACTATTAGAAGACTTTAAATAAGTTAAAGCAGGGCACTTTGATAAATGTAAGGTAATCAGGCAGAGCCAACACCATTTTCTCAAATGAAATCATGTTTGACCAATCTGTTGGACTTACTTGAGGAGGTAATATGGGTGATGGATAAAGGGGAACTAGTAGATGTATTGTACTAGATTTCTAGAAGGCATTTGATGAAGTACCACATCAGGTAGAAAAGAAAAGCTTATGGTGTACAGGGGTCTGGTACTAGTTTGGATGTAATATTGGCTAACAAAGTAGGAGTACATATGTCTTTAGATTGGAAAGATGTAACAAGTGGTGTGCCATGGGGATTGGTACTGGAACCACAAACATTTACAATTTGTGAATGAAAGGTACAATTGCTAAACTTGCTGTATATGCAGATAGGTAGGAAAGTAAGTTATGAAGACATTTTTTAAAAGCAGATTATTTAAATGATGAGCAACTTGCATGAATCAAGTACAACAAGTAATTAGAAAGCTAGTTTGAATGTGATCACTTATCACAAGGGGAATTGAATACCAAAGTTGGGAGGTTATGCTTCACTTATGGTGGGCACTGGAGAGACCATATTTGAACTACTTTGCATGCTACTAGTCAACTTATTTAATGAAGGACATAAATGTGCTGGAAGCAGATTGTCTCATGAAGGTTCTATCTGATTGTTTAAAGGAGCAAGAAGTAACTAGTTGGAAGATAAAATCCTGAAGACTTGACAGGGTAGATAGAGATGTTCCTTTTAATGGGAGAATCTAGGGGTCACTGTTTAGAAATCAGTCACCCATTCAAAGTACAGATGAGGCAATTTTTTTCCCTTCTAGGAGAGTTGTGAATATTTGGAACTGTTTCTACCACTTTTTCAGGAAAAGAGTCCTTGAATATTTTGGAAGTGGGTGAAAAAGTTCAGAATTGGGAAGGAATGCAGATTTGAGGTTACAATCAGATCAGCCACAACTTTAATGGTAGAGCAGGCTAAATCCTGCTCTTAATTTATATCTATGCCTACAGACAGCTATAGGAACATGCTTGATAGAAAATAACATCATAACAATATTTGCAAGTCTGTATTATCAAGGGAGCAGCAGTTTAAGAGGCTGAGGCCAAGACCAATGAAAACAGCAGTTTAAATTTGTACTGACACAAGGCAGGGATGTATATCCTAACGTGGACAGTGGAAAAATTAAGGTACAATGATGGATAGCAGAAAGGTCATAATGTAGTGACCAGTGTTTAGTGTCATTGTTGGTGAACTATGACAATTTCAGACAATGTATGTAGTTATAGTTTACAGATTAAAGCTCTAAATGGCCTGAGCAAAGAGCTTTGCAAATCTTGCTTGTCATCAGATTTAAAACATCTGGTCTATCCACAGATGATCAGAAACTCTGGACTGTTCTTAAAAACCAGCCAAAGCTAAGAAATAACTTCAAGATATACAGTCTTCTATTATGACATATGTAAATCAGTCAAAAGTCTATTGACCAGTAAATTGGAAGATGCTGCAGTAAAAAGTATGAATGAATGTTGCTTTTCTTGAACTTTCAAACATGCTTGTTGATTATCTCTATACCAGTTAAACATTTAGGAAGGATCATTTGCACAAGAAATTGAAGGATGGATAAAAGTACGAAGCCATAGTGGCAGGGCAGTGATAGTTGTTTTGAGTGTAGCAATTGCTGCAGTCAGTAATTTGTACCAACCAACATTAAATCTTTTAATAGTTGCAGTTTGTCAGACTGTCTCTGAAGGTGTCCAGCTTTTCTTGATATCTAGTGCCAAGTGACATTGGGCATATGTGGGACATCTGGCTGCAAAAGCTAAACTAGACACCACAGCAAAGCCCAGGTGACCAATGAGATGGTACAACACTACAACACTGACAGCAAGGAAAGTGTGAAGGTGTACAAATGCAAATATGCCAATGAGATTTGGAGTCAACCAAATAAAGGACAAATATCAAAAGATGACTAAGTTTTACATATTGTGATCTTCAGACAACACACCAATGGTATAAGACAGAATCTTTACAGAGCATATGATATTCATGATTGTTAAAGATTTGTGTCACCCATTAAAAGCTAAACTTCACCCAGGAACTCTTGCCAACCTATTGCTACTGCATTTCCAGCAGGATTACATACCTCAGCAAGTAACGATTCATCTTGTGGTGTACAAGAGACAGGTCTGCAGTTTGAGACTAACACAAGCTCATTTTGGCTTCCTCCAACCTTCTGCCTGGGAGATACCAATGGTCTAGTAGTGGCGATCCACCACTATGTAAATCTAGGTACAGTAACAATTCATGAGATTTAAACCACATCTGCTCTGCAAAAACAGACCACAATTGATGTAATCAAATCAGTTAATGGTCTGCAAGGGTATGACTTTGAAGTAAAATAATAAGCTTGGTACCTGGGTGATTACATCTGACATGCTGAGCAGATTACCCAACCCACACAAATACCAAGGTATTCATCTTGAGTTCCACATTGCTCTGAACTAAGGTAGGGAGAGATGTGTTTTGGAGGCAGTCACACCCCTTAGATTAAGTACCTCAAATTTGGTCAGTGGTCAAGGACAGTAGGGTGTAACTGAACAAAACGGGTAGAAGGATCTAGGAGGTAGTGCTGAAGGAGCCTCAGCCCTTAAGATTCTCTGAACGATTTGAGATTCTTGCTCCCTCTGTGCATGAGTGTGGAGCTATATGGAGCATGAGCAAACTGACCATAGCACCGTGGTATTGGGAGCCATTTGAGAGGGGGGGAAGGGAAGAAAAGAGAAACGTAGTTGTAATCAGGGATAGTACAATCGGGGGAATAGACAGTGCTCTCTGGATAGTGTTTACTGTGGCCAGGATTGAGGGTCCCTCAGAGCTGTGTTACATGCCTGGTACTCGGGTTCAGGATATCTCATCTGGGTTGTAGATGAGTGGGAAGGGAAAGATTGAGTTGTCGTTGTTCGTATAGGTACCAATGATAAAGGTAGAAAGACAAAAGAGGTTCTGCTGAGGGAATATGAGTAGCTAGGGGCTGAATTAAAATGCAGAACCAAAAATAATAATCTCCAGATTACTACCTGAGTCACCAGCTAATTGGCAGAGGTAAACGTGTGGCTCAAGGATTGGTGTGGGAGAAACAGGTTCAAATTTGAGAGACATTGGCACCAGACCTGGGGAAGGAGGGAGCTATTCTGATGGAATGGGCTCCACCTGAATGAAGCTGGGATGAGAGTCCTGGCGAATCGCATAACTAGGACTGAGGATAGGGCTTTAAACTGAATAGTTGGGGTGGGTTCAGTTGCATGGAAAATTATATAAAACGTTAAACTGGGGGAGGGCTCAGTAGAGGTTGTTAAAGTTTCCAGAGCAAGTCTACCATGAGTATGGAAAGGATCAAGAATCTAACTTCAGCACAGTAGATAAGGGGACAACTATGAGAAGGGGGACAGTCAATGCAGGACTGAGGATGTTGTACACATACACACAGTACACAAAACAAGGTAAATGAGCTTGTAGCATAGACTGGAATTGGCAGATACAATGTTGTGCGTATCACGGAGATGTGGCTGCTAGGAAATCAGGGTTGGGAACTAAATATCCAAGGATATGCATCTTATTGAAATGACAGGCAGATGGGTAAAGGGGCAGGTGTTGCCTTTTAGTACAAAATAAAATTTAAATCAGTAGCAAGAAATGATATAGCATTGGAAAGTGTAGAATCTGTCTAGGTAGAGTTGAGGAACTGCAAAGGAAAATAGACCATGATGGGAGTGTGTACAGACCTCTTAGCAATAGTCAGAAGGTGGGGGAGAAAATGAATCGGGAGGTAGAAAAGGCATGATAGAAAGGCACGATTACAATAATCATGGGTGACTTCAATATGTGGTGGACTGCGAAAATCAGGCAGATAGCCGATCCCTAGAAAAGGAATTCATGGAATATCTTTAAGATGGTTTTTTGGAGCAGCTTGTGGTAGACCCCATTAGGGAACATGCAATTCTGGAATTGCTGATGTGTACTGAGGCAGACTTGATTAGGGATCTTAAAGTGAAGGAACCCCTGGGGAAGTGACCACAATATGATAGAATTCACCTCGCAGTTTGAGAGGGATAAACTGGAATCCGATGTAATGATATTACAATTGAGTAAAGGTAACTACAAAGACATGAGGGAGGAGCTAGCCAGAGTTGATTGGAAGGGGATCCTAGCAAGGAAGACAGTGGAGCAGCAATAGCAGGAATTTCTGGGGTTTTTTTGGGAGGCGCAGCAGAAATTCATCTCAAGGTGGTAGAAACGTTCTTAGGGAAGGATGAGGGAACTATGGCTGATAAGGGAAGTCAGGGACAGCATAAAAGCAAAGGTAAAGCATACAGTGTGGTGAAGATTAGTGAGAAATCAGAGGATTAGGAAGTCTTTAAATACCAGCAGAGGACAATAAAAAGCAATAATGAGTGAGAAGATGAAATATGAGATTATCTAGCTAGTAATATTGCATTATCTTATTAGATCACAAGAGTTTTTTTAGATATATAAAAGATGAGAGACATGCAGGAGCGGACATTGGACAGCTGGAAAATGAAGCTGGAAAAGTAGTAATGGGAAACAAGGAAATGGCAGAGGACCTGAATAGGTACTTTGCAACAGACTTATGGTATTGTACATTAGCATCAGTAAGCACAGAATCCAAACTACATGTGTAAGTCATTGGTATTGCAGCCATATAACTAGTGTTGTGCATAAACGTGAAGATTTCTGACTCAACAAGAAGCCAACTCTATTGCATATGTTACATAGATTGACATATAGAACATCATAAAGTGCATCAGGTTACAAGGTGTTCTGTGCCAACCAGGCCACAGTTGGTGTAAATTGGCACAGAATTGAAAATGGATGAATTTTATTTATTAATCTCCAACTCCTCCTATCAGATGCTGATACATTGATATAAGTAAATATAAATTTCTGCATTCTTAGTTCTTGTTGGCCTATACTTAACTAGTGAAGGTGACAGTCGTCGGTGAGACACCTAAACATAGTTTATCAATCACAAGAGCGTCCAAGGACAGTGTACTGAACCCATTGCACTGGAAAAGTACTGCACATTGAGCAAAGTCTGCAGAGAGAACAGTCATCTGGAGCTGAGCTTGAATATCTTTGTTCTAACTAAATACATTTTCCTTACGGTTTAGTTTGAGTGAGTTTCCGTGATGTGCTGTTGATTGATTTAATATATTAAAGGAGATCAGGTTTTTGTATTTTTGATTTTTACTTATGACTGAAAATCTGCTCTTTAGGCTTAGGCATTTTCTGCCTGCTTTCTTGAAATTCTGACTAATTAGTTTTATTACCTTTTACCGAAGTATTGTTCTCTGAGAACTATATTTCCCACTTCCATTCATTTCCCACATTTCTTCAGTGACCCCTGTTTGTTTCTTTCCTTTTCATTTTCATTTTTGCAAATTGTGTCAAATGTTGCAGATTCCAGACTTCAAGAACAACTGCCATTCCTTGTTCAAAGCTATAAATAGATTTATTACATCTGTCACCGTTATGGTTGAAACCATCATGGTACAAAGTTTGCTGCAGGATCTCCCAGTGGAAGGTGGAGATACGTAAAAAGCAGTGTTTCTGAATGGAAGGACATGTACGATAACTACCTGCTCCTGAAGTCTATCAGAAATGACATTGAGTGGGGCATTCTGGACGAACAAATAAAATCTGATCTGCAGTCCATAAAAGCCAGAGAAGACGGTGATGACTGTGGAATACTTCAAAGATGATTTCATCACTATTTACATGGACTTTACAATGTCCTCTCCAACCTTACACTGCAAGCTAATCATGTAACCAACTGGCATACAAGGGAACTAGGAATTAATGACTTGGGAAGGTAAAAAGTGGACTTTACTGGTTGGCATCAAAATAGAAATTGTTGTCTTAGTGTCTTTAATCTGACACAGTTTATATTTTTGTGATTCCTCCTCATTATTTAAACCAAATTAAGTCTCAGGTGTTTACAGTTTAGAAACCCTGTCACCCACCTTTCCTACAAAATGATTTAACACCAAAACTATACTTCTGATAAACTTGGATTTATCATTCATTCATAGAATCCCTACAGTGTGGAAACAAGCCCTTTGGCCCAACAAGTCCACACCGACCCACAGAGCATTCCACCCAGACCCATCCCCTTATAACCCACCTAATCTACACGTCCCTGAACACTATGGACAATTTAGCGTGGCCAATCCACCTAACCTGCACGTCTTTGGACTGTGAAAGGAAACTGGAGCACCCAGAGGAAACCCATGCAGACACGGGGAGAATGTGCAAACTCCACACAGACAGTGGCCCGAGGGTGGAATCGAACCCAGGTCCCTGGTGCTGTGAAAAAAAAGGCACAACTTGTGTTATAATTTTTATTTCCTGTGACGGAACAGGATGGTATTTTTATTTTACGTGATAAACTTAAGGATTTACTAAATATCCTCTATAATAATAGGACTCATTGCCAATAAAGCAACTTCTGTGTATCACCAACATACGATGCAATCATGTCTGGCAAACTAATAAATCATTATTCTCCAGGTACATTCCTCATTGCAACTCTTTTTTTGCGCTGGGTATTGTACAGATAATTTTTCCGGTGGCAAAAGCAAGCTTAAATAGGGTCATGTCTCTTCTCTGTTTTGATCACCCATTATCTCTTGAAAATTTTCTGTTAAGCTTTGATTGAGTGTGTAATCTACAGAAACTTATTTGAACAGAGATCTCGAAAATGGCCTGAAATAAACTCCATAAATGGCTGACATATGAGATTCCATTTTCTTACATGCTCAGATGTCATTGCAGTTGACTGCACTTACCCAAAAATTGGGAAATTTAAACATAAGTTTTGCCTTACATTTGCATTTTCCATGAACCTCCAAACAGCCAAGCCCATTTTTGGAACGCTCTTATAACAGTGCTCATATCTTACAAACAAAGGGACTAGTAAGAATGTTTTAAACTCTTTTCATACCAGAAAATATTTAATTTATTGAGAAACTAATGTGGTTAGAACAATTAAATGATTCAATATTGTTTCTTCCTGTACTTTTCAGTGAATTGAAATCAAGTTACAGATGAAAGTCTGGAGAGATGAAAGACTGCAGGTTACCACTCCTAAAGCATCAAGCAGTACCTCTTCCTGCAACAAAGATACAATTATATTCCATTACACTGCCAAATTACGCTGGTTCATTTTAGTTTCTACATTTATAATCATATTTGAACTGTACCCTAGCCAGCAGAAGTTTCAGTGCATTTTGACACAATAGCCTGTGACCTTCTGGCTAATCAGGACAATGTAGCACAGAGTCAGTGTAGCTACCAGAGTCAGCTATTTTGGGAGTGAAGCAGAGTGTTTTGGCACCAGCTCAAGGAAGTATATCTAATGTCATTTATTCCTTGTTCCAATTTAAATTTGCATCAGCCTTGCTAGCCCGGATTACGTTATTGGTTTTCTGCCTTACTCTGGCTATCGATGAGCTAGCCACTTAGCAGTCTTTTACCTAGCAATGTGATCTGGACAGATATCCTGTTGACAAAAGAAGGGAACTTTACAATTGATTTTTGAGTGAAAGTATATCTTAACGTCACACACAGCCGATTTCTGTTTTGTTCAGAGTGCTATAATGTAACTGGAACAGGATTAACACACAAAGTGGACCAGTTCCAATAGACGGACAGAGAGAGGTCAGGGCAGGGGGAGGGTTTCGCTCCGGTTCCTCTTCTCCTCCTGTTCCTCCTCCTCAGAACCCAATCCCTCAAATACATAAAACCTACATCCTGTTTCTCCAAAGAAAAGAAAATTGAAAAGATATATTTAGGAAGTATTGTCATTTTGCATTTTAATTTTGTCTTACCACTAATTTTATTTTACTTAGATAAGTTTCACTTTCAAAGTAACAATGCATGTACATCAAATACAAAAAGACTTTCCATATGCAATCATATTCCACACAAATCTATTTTGATATCATAAGTTTTGTTTTCTTCCATATTTGGTCTTGATACAGTACCCATTTTGATATTGTTTCTTCAGCATTAAACTCCGCCAAAACAATCTCAAATTCTTAATATTAAATCTTGCTAAGAAAGTGAATGGATTAGGGTCTCTGCAGAGCTACTGAATTTGTCGGCTTCATAATATTTTAGGGTGAATATCAAACTTAATATTTCTTTTTCCACAGATCAATGTTTCTGATGACATGAATTTTAAGTTACTTTTGAAAAATATCTGACTGGTTGTTCAATCCTCATTTATTCTCCTGTAATGAAACTGTGCCAATACTGACTCTGGTAGTGTCAACAGCCAGTTTAAATGGCTTAACATGGTTCAGAGCTGTTAAATGTCTCCTTTATCTTAGAAACCTTATTTTTACTTCTCTACATAGTTCTTCTTGGCCTTGTCCCACAGTATGGCCAAAATGAGTTACTTTTGCTTTGACAAATTCACCTGTGAACAATTTTGTGCTGTATTTGGCTTTTTGTAATTGATCAAACAATTCATTCAAGTGCTGTAAATATTCCTGCCAGGTTTGGCTGGACACAACCAAACCACCAATATTTTTGACATAGTTGTATAATCCTTCAATGACTTTGGTTAAGTTTTGAGAAATTACTAGTGCATGTTTCATTCCAAACAACATTATTTTGCATTAATAAAGTCCATCTCAGGTTATAAGAGCTGGTATATCTTTGGCCCTTTTGGTCAATGGAACTTTCCAATGTAAAGACAACTTTTTTCTTAGACTGTGGTTTTAAAAAATTAGTCACTATATCTCACTGTGAGTTGTATCTACGATGCTGTTTTACTCAAGCAGCAGGGGAAAATGCTAAACATATTGGCGCTATGTGTATTGGCACTGCAGTTTTACCCAGAGACAGTTTATTCATTCATTTTTCAAACAGGATCAGTTTTGTGGGTCAGGAGTGCTTGGCATAATAGCAACTTCTTGACTGGCTCTTGAGCAAGTGCCTTCATTCTTGCATATGGACAATACAGGAGTAACTTGGAGCATACAAAGAGAAAGTGCCTAAATTTCTTACCCTCATGGAGAAGTAACAGAAAATCTCCTGTTAGCTGTTATCACTTACCATTTCCCTGTAAACCGCTGTCTGAAAATTTCTTTGTTCAAAGGAAGTGGGGAGAAAACACCTGAAAAAGCACTTAAAAGGTGAATCCTCAACCTGTAGATGAAAGACTGGGAACTGGAGTATCTACAAGTTTCACATCACCATAGCATTAGCAAAGAATCAGAAAGAACTGAAAGAAACACTGCTGTCTGTGATCTAAATTGGTGCTAGACTATGCTTCTCTAATTTTTTTTCCCCTCTGTACCTGTTCTTGCTTGTGTCTTGACGCTTTGTGTGTTTGTTTGTAAGTGCATGGGAAAGGGGTGTTCTTTAAGTTATGGCAATTTGCATTTCTTTTGTGCTATTGGTTAAAAACGTTTGATTACAATAAATAGTTTGCTGTTACTGAAAACCTTTGTATGTATTATTTTAACCTGCATTAAGCCAGTTAGGTAAGACTGGGAATGTTGGTCATTTCATCAAATTTTGATACTTGTGATGATTTCAGGAATAATAGCACTTGATTTGCCGTACACCACCCCAATGAGTTGTGATACTGGTTTCCCTGCAATAAATCAACTTTTGTAATGAATTGTGCTTGTTCAATCCCCTCAACATAAACCTTCCATCGTGGAATTGGAATTGTAACTGCCTTCATTATTTATTAACTTTGTCTTAATCTATAAGCAAGCATCTTGAACCACATGGTTTTGATACCATCACAATAGGAGATCTTCAGTTACTGTGACTGAGTTTCATTTTAATTTTCTATCATGAACTAGGTTTCTTTTCTCAACTTGGGTGTTAGGAAGTTGATTTATGGGTAACAAATTCCTATGTTAACTTCATGTATACCTATTTACACAAATTGATTGACTCTGTAGTACCTTTCATAAGTCACCTTGAGAACTTTCTTAGAGATTACATTAAACCTAAGCTTTCAAGAACCACCCTATTATCCAATCTGATTACAGGGGGGTCGAACTTAGAATTTTCAATATCTGATTCATTTTTTCAAATCACTCCGATTTTTTATTTGATTCCCTACTTCTTTTGCCACTGAAAACACACTTTCCTTCAGACTATCCTCCATGTCACAGCTATCACTTATAGAGTGATAGCTTCACTGTGTCACATAGCACAGAAACAGGTCCTTTGGCCCAAATCATTTATGCCGAACAGGATTCCTAAACTACTCTAGTTCTATTTGCTTGCATTTGGTCCTTGTCCCTCTAAACCTTTCCTATCCATGTACCTGTCCAAATGTCTTTTAAACGTTGTAATTGTACTTGCCTCTACCACTTCCTTGAGCAGCTGTTTTAAATATTTCCCCTCTAACCTTAAACTTATGCCCTTCAGTTTTGGACTCCTCTGCCTAGGGCAAAAGACGTTGGCTTTTCACTTTATCTACACCTCTCATGATTTTATGAACCTCTATAACATCACCGCTCAGCCTCCTATGCTCCACTAAAAAAATTCTAACTTGCTAAATATTTTTTTCTCCTGTCAGGAATAATCACTATCTTATTAACATTATTAAGTTCCTTTTGATTTGATAAAGTCCAGTGAATCATGATTTTAATGATCCCCCAGAGCCAGGTAACAATACTAACACATTTTGTCCAGTGATAAAAAAAATGAGATTTGGCCTCTTTATCTATTCTAGCTTTTAATGTTTTTTGAGCAATCTTCAAATGCTTTTTGGCCAATTCACATACTTTGGTTAACTTTCTGTACATTTGGTGCATAGAACAGAAGCATAGTCTCTGAGCTTTAGTTTATTATTTCTCTTGCATTGTTCAATGGGTCTTCTCACCACTTGGCCGTCAATCAATTAAGGAACACTGTATCCTGTGGAATCATTACAAGCATCGTCAATGGAAAACCGCAGAAAAGGGAATCTCTTTATCCCAAGAATTAAGACTTTCCTAACACTCAACTCTAATCATAATCTTTAAAGTTTGATATCATAAGTTTTGTTTTCTTCTGTATTTGGTCTTGATACAGTACCCATTTTGATATTGTTTCTTCAGCATTAAACTCCGCCAAAACAATCTCAAATTTTTAATATTAAATCTTGCTAAGAAAGTGAATGGATTAGGGTCTCTGCAGAGTTACTGAATTTGTGGGCTTCATAATATTTTAGGGTGAATATCAAACTTAGTATTTCTTTTTCCACAGATCAATGTTTCTGATGACATGAATTTTAAGTTACTTTTGAAAAATATCTGACTGGTTGTTCAATCCTCATTTATTCTCGTGTAATGAAACCATGCCAATACTGACTCTGGTAGTGTCAACAGCCAGTTTAAATGGCTTAACATGATTCAGAGCTGTTAAATGCCTCCTTTTGTCTTAGAAACCTTATTTTTGCTTCTCTACATAGTTCTTCTTGGCCTTGTCCCACAGTATGGCCAAAATGAGTTACTTTTGCTTTGACAAATTCACCTGTGAACAATTTTGTGCTGTATTTGGCTTTTTGTAATTGATCAAACAATTCATTCAAGTGCTGTAAATATTCCTGCCAGGTTTGGCTGGACACAACCAAACCACCAATATTTTTGACATAGTTGTATAATCCTTCAATGACTTTGGTTAAGTTTTGAAAGATTACTAGTGCATTTTTCATTCCGGGAACACTGTATCCTGAGGAATCATTACAAGCATCGTCAATGGCACACCACAGAAAAGGGAATCTATTTATCCCAAGTATTAAGACTTTCCTAACACTCAACTCTAATCATAGTTTTTAAAGTTTGATATATCTTTCTAATGATCCTTGAGATTGTGGATGATAATATGAAGATGTTGTTTTACAAGAAAAAGTTCCTTATTTATTGTACATTTGTGACATGAAAGTTGAAACTTCATCTGATGATACCTTCCTTTAGTAAAGATACCTTTATAAGGAATTGATCTAACATTTCCATTATTACAAGACTGGGATGGGAAGAAGGCATTGGTAATTAAGCCCCACTACTCCACACGTCATGTGATTTGCGTAAACGTTTTGAATCAATCACCAAAATTTCCAATTTTTCCTCATTTGGTACTGCTATCTGGACTGAAAGAGACATTCTTTAATGAACTCAAAAATAAACTGTTCACTATGAAACAAAACTTATTTCTAAAATGGTGGCAAAGCTAATTAACATCTAAGCTATAATTCAGAATTAGAACTTTCAACCCTTTAAAGTTAACACAACACTACTCAGGTAACATTTAAGAGCAAAGAAATATTAAAACAACTTTATTCACGAATGGTCTGCAAAAGAAGATAGAATTTCATGAGCTCCCTTCCCTTCCTTGACCGCTCTGTCTCCATTTCGAGGAATAAATTGTCCACTGCCATCACTAAAAAGCCACTGACTCCCATAGCTACCTTTACTACAGCTCATTACATCCCACATCCTGCAAGAACTCCAGAGACAACAAGGTGCAGAGCTGGATGAACACAGCCGGCCAAGCAGCATCATAGGAGCAGAAAGGCTGACATTTCGGGCCTAGACCCTTCATCAGAAATGGGGGAGGGGAAGGGGGTTCTGAAATAAATAGGGAGAGAGGGGGAGGCAGATAGAAGATGGATAGAGGAGAAGATAGGTGGAGAGGAAACAGACAGGTCGAAGAGGCGGGGATGGAGCCAGTAAAGGTGAGTGTAGGTGGGGAGTTAGGGAGGGGATAGGTCAGTCCACGGAGGTCGGACATGTCAAGGGGGCGGGATGAGTTAGTAGGTAGGAGATGGGGGTGCGGCCTGAGGTGGGACGAGGGGATAGGTGGGAGGAAGAACAGGTTAGGGAGGCGGGGACTAGCTGGGCTGGTTTTGGGATGCAGCAGGGGGAGGGAAGATTTTGAAGCTTGTGAAATCCACATTGATACCATTGGGCTGCAGAGTTCCCAAGCAGAATATGAGTTGCTGTTCCTGCAACCTTCGGGTGGCATCGTTGTGGCACTGCAGGAGGCCCAGGATGGACATGTCGTCTGAGGAATGGCAGGGGTGTTGAAATGGTTCGCAACTGGGAGGTGCAGTTGTTTATTGCGAACCGAGCGTAGGTGTTCTGCAAAGTGGTCCCCAAGCCTCCGCTTGGTTTCCCTGATGTAGAGGAGGCCACAACGGGTACAGCGGATGCAGTATACCACATTGGCAGATGTGCAGGTGAACATCTGCTTGATGTGGAAAGTCTTCTTGGGGCCTGGGATGGGGGTGAGGGAGGAGGTATGGGGGCAGGTGTAGCACTTCCTGCGGTTGCAGGGAAAAGTGCCGGGTGTGGCGGGGCTGGAGGGGAGTGTGGAGCGGACAAGGGAGTCACGGAGAGAGTGGTCCCTCCGGAAAGCAGATAAGGGTGGGGAGGGAAACATGTCTTTGGTGGTGGGGTCGGACTGCAGATGGCGGAAGTGTCGGAGGATGATGCGTTGGATCCGGAGGTTGGTACTGGCTCCATCCCCGCCTCTTCGACCTGTCTGTTTCCTCTCCACCTATCTTCTCCTCTATCCATCTTCTATCCGCCTCCCCCTCTCTCCCTATTTATTTCAGAACCCCCTTTCCCTCCCCCATTTCTGATGAAGGGTCTAGGCCCGAAACGTCAGCCTTTCTGCTCCTATGATGCTGCTTGGCCTGCTGTGTTCATCCAGCTCTGCACCTTGTTGTCTCTGTTCAGATGATGTCCCCTTCCAAAACAGCGCTGCTGACATGGCTTCCTTCTTCCATGACCGTGGTTTCCCGACGACTGGTTGACAGGGCCCTCAACCACATCCGACCGATCACCCGTGCTTCCACCCTGTCCCCGTCCCATCACTCACAACAGCGTGATTGGGTTCCCCTTGTCCTCACTTTTCATCCCACCAGCCTCCGCATTCAAAGGATCATTCTCTGCCATTTCAGACAACTCCAGCAGAACACCACTACCAAACACATCTCAATCACTACCCTGGTCTGCATTTTGCAAGGATTGCTCCCTCTAGGACAGCCTAGTCCATTCCACAACCACCAACAACCCCACCCTCCCAATGGTACCTTCCCATGTAACCGCAGTAGGTGCAACACCTGCCCCTTCACCTCCTCCCTGCTCACTATCCAAGGGCCTAAACAGTCTTTCCAGGTGAAGCAGCATTTCACCCGTACCTCCTCCAATCTTGACTATTGTATGGGCTACACCCAGTGTGGCCTACTCTATACTGGAGAAACCAAATGCAGGCTGGGTGACCGCTTTGCAGAACACCTCCAGTCTGTGTGCAAGCATAACCCTGACCTTCCCATAGCCTGTCATTTTAACACAGCGTCCTGCTCATATACCCATGTGTCTGTCCTTGGCATGCTGCAGTGTTCCAGTGAATCACAGCGCAAACTGGAGGAACTACATCTCATCTTCAGACTCGGCACTTTACAGCCTTCTGGACTTAATATTGAGTTCAACC